CTTCGCGGATCCTTCGTTCTCCAAAGCGATATTGTGCAAAGTGTCCTGCTGCGACACGTTGGCCTGCGCGCTCTTCACGCTCGACTCGTAATATCTTTGCAGACCATTGATAGAACGATTCACGAATGTGCAGCCACTGCTGTTTTCCTTGGTCGTGTAAACCGACATGAGACCGTCGTCGATGGGCAGATTATCGACGATGGGATTCGCGTTAGTCGTGCTTAAACAGGTCTCTGGCTTTTCGCTTCGCATGTCGGGACACGACGAGCCGTTTAGATTATTTTCCAACGTTGACACGGTTTCCGACACGCATTGATCGTTGTAGATCGGCGTTAAACAGGGCGCGTTCGAGGCGATCTGCGGCTCCTTCAAGGCTCCTTTGTTCTCTTCTATGACTTCTATCAGCTCGACGAGCCAGTCGATGTTGTCGTTACTGTTGACAATCGTCCCAGAGGAATCGTAGGTTCCCTTCCAGCAGGCCAGAGACTCGTCGAGCTGTTCCTCAATCTGATAATGCAACGGTGTTTGGTAATTCAAGGGGCTGGACGCGTCGCTGTAAGATTGATTGGACGAAGACGAAGAGGACAGCGCCTGAGGCACTCGATAAGTCGATGCGACCTGCAAAAGAAGGCGTCCGCTTAATTGAACCACCTACCGTGAATTCATTTCGTATTTATGGCCGTGCCACAGCGAAAAGCGATAAATGACAGCCGCGACATAAATTTGTACTTGTTGCTATCAGATTGCAGCTCGTGTATTTTATGAAACTCGTCAAACTGCGATACTTTATAGACGTCTGCTAAAACGACTATCAATTAGTTTTTTTTTTTCAAGATTTTATATACAATGATAAATTTAATGTCGGCCGACAAATAAAAATAAAATTCCAAACTGCAATCTTCTCGCAATCTCAGATAAGTAATGCATTGTACATAGTAAGTATGTATACATGCCTGAAGAAGAAATTTGAATAAGTTAGATAAGGTTAAATAGCTCAGTTAAATAAAACATTAAAGCAAAACGGCAGGATTTACATAGATAATAATTTTAAAAAAAGTGTAGTTCGCCGAATGCAAAAGTATTGTCTATAAAAATATAGCGTCGCGATTTACTTAATCATTGAGATTTATACGTCGGATATATAAATCCGCGACGAGATCATTCGCGGCTTTGTCTAACTCGTAATTCAGCTTGACCGCGAGAAAATCGTTATTCGCAAAGCGCACAGTTATTACTGCCTTCTCAATGCAGTCGCTCGCGTCAAGTTCCGCTTGTGATGCACTTCGATTTACCTTATTCCCGCCATTTGGATCCGTCAAGGATCTTATGCGCATTATGCATTTATGCAGATATCACAGGCTTACTTGCGGTGAACCGAGCGGGCTGCCGATCACGTTGACGTGCATCTGTGGCGACTCTAAGTTTGTGGCGGAACCGGGCGATTGGGCGCGACTCGACGCCCGACTGTTCGACCGCGAAACAACGTTGTTGTAGCTGCTCGCCGGCGAGTCCGACCAGGTTTTCGCACCTGGCGACGGGATCGAGTGACTACCGGCGTCCGGGAGTACCGCGGCCTGGAAACCGCCGCGCGATATAATGTCCATCAGGAACTCCTCTCCCGGGTCGTTGACGACTATAGACGGAAGTGCTGCGGTCTGCAATGAGATAACTTCTTGTTCATAGCGGCACTCCGGAAACTTTTCTGTGTCACGTTGCTACCTCAGTAGAACAGTTCCATTCATTATAATCTACGCTTTTTCTCATTGAACGAATAATTACATTCAAAAGTAAATAATTCGAGTTTAAAATTTTTCGATCAATAGAAACAGACATTTTCGTAGGTAACTCTTATCGTTAATATTGTGTAATTAGCGTTTCGGTAATAGTGTACTATTTTTAATTGATACTTCAATACTACAGAAATGCCGCATCGAACAAACAGCGAAAATGTATTTGCACTCACATCGCTGCTGAGCTCTCCGTGGCGGAAGACATCTTCAGCACTCTCTCCGGTCCAGCCAGGAACTATCGTCAGACCATCGCCTATTGCATCAATTTCCGACTGATTGCGACTTGAATTCGACAGCTGGTCCAGGCAGGGATTGAGCTTCTCGCTGTAATCCTTATTTCTTAGGATTTGCTCGGCGGTTTTGTCGTAATCCACCGCGTGGAGCACATCCGCGCTGTCGTTCACCCGCGACAGCCAGCTCACCATCGAGTACGGATGTTCTCGAATAGACTGGTAGTCGGGTTTGATCGGTCCACGCTCAATCAGATCGGAATTATCCGAGTCCTCGTGGTCCTGTCGCTCCTGATCGCCTTCCGAATCGCCGTCGTCCGTCGAATTCTGATCGTCCAAGGAACGACATTGTCCTTCCTTGTCGTCGAATTCGTTGTGTATGTTGAACGGCAGGCAGCCCTCGTCGGTCGTAACGTTGTCCTCGTTATTGTTTATGTCCTCGCTATCGGTGTGCTTGATCATCTGCGACTTACAAGTGTTCCAATACTCCACATTGTCCACTTTCTCGCTACTGATGCGACGTGTTCCGCCGATGTTCTCGTTGGCGTTTTTCTCATCGTTGCCGTCGTCGCGTTCGAATCGCAGATTCTTCATCTTCTCGATTATGTCGTCGAATTTTGGCAGCTTCTTGCGGAAATCCTCATCGAGATCGAAGCTTCTATCCGCGTCTGCGCTCGAACGGCAAGATGTGTCTGGACTCGTGGACATACCTTCGGACTCGGTTGATCCATAATCCTCCTCCAGCGAACTCACGGACGAGTAGTCCGGAATCGAGATGCATTGCACCGTCCGCTTCTCGATTCGAATCGGTGTAACTCGGCTTAAATTAGCCATGTTCGCTGTTTTTTGCATTTCCCCTAACATTGTGTAGTATACAATGATTTTTTGAAGAGAATCTTCTTGATTAAAGATTGTCTTCGCGTATTTTGTTGCCAGCTAATGTCCTTCTGGCCTCGAAAACTTCTTTCCGATGTTAATCTGTAAAATATCATTAGCAAATATGAATTTTGCAGATTTAGCAATAGCCCGATATAAATTTAATATTTCCGCATCCATAGAGCTTGTAAATTTTTTCTACACTTGGAATCCAAATCTTTTATATTACATAAAGCTATCTTGCCTGAATTAATTTGAATTAAAGAAGACTCACATACGATTTATAAATCAATCCATGAAATAAAGAGTCACAGCAAGATGTACGTACCGATGTACGATGTCTTTATTAAATTGTTAAACGTTTCGGTCTGGCATCAGATAATCCTCAGTGAATTTGACAATAATAAACAATAAATAAAAATACATTAGGCTCGTAGTAATAAATAATTAATGATATATTCAAGAGGATATATCGAGCCGCACTAGATGTTTTTAAAATTAAGTGCTAAAATCCAATATAACTCGCAGACCATTTGCATTCTCTCCTAATACAAGCTGTTATAAATCTTGAGCGCAATTTTATTGTTAAGTTGTTAAAAGTTGTATTAAACTTCTCAAATTTCACTTAACAACACAATTGCACTTCAGATTTATTGAAGCTTGTAATAGAAGAGAATGCGAATTGTCTGTAAGTTATACCGCGACTTTTACCGCTTAATATGTTTTAATATTATTTAACTTACTGAGGAAAGTCTGATGCCACGGCGAAATGTTTGAACAATTTATTAAAGACGGCACGTTATCAGCACATACATCTTTTTCTTAGCCCTTTATTTCACGTATTGAGTTAATTTGAATTGCTCGTAAAAATTTAATTAACTTAAAAATAGTTTTGACGCACGGTATTCGGCAGGAATTAAAACGTGATTAGAAAGATTCTTGAAATTTTTTGTAAATAATAACTTATCTTAATAATAACTTTATTGCATTTTTTTATTGCATCACTATTTACGCAATAGCTTCTACATTTGCGTCACAATAACAAAGTATTTACATATGGATAAGCTACCGTCTGTGTTAGACACGAACGCTTTCATTATTATGCGCGTTGATAACTGAGACTATTTTTTTTTTGTTGACAATGTTTTTGTTCAAATAGTGCAGCTAATGCATGTTATGTGACAAAAATAAATTTATATACATTGCGTAAACTTATGCCAGATCAAGAAATAATTTATGCAGTTTAAAAGATGAAAAAGATTATAGAAAGTTTTGTAACAGTAAAAAACATGGCTATATTGAGTTAGAATTCACTGAAAACATACTGAAAACCTGTCTTCAAAGCAATGGTATTGTCATCATTTATAATCGATTATCACGACGTTGATGTAACGCTCACTAGATGTAAAAATAAAATTTTAATTACTATTATCAACAGTTTTGTTGCGCAAGTTTTTAACATTTCTTATTACGCGCGCGGGTTCAGAAAGTGATTGTTATAAAATCTTATCTTTGTAAAGCATTGTAAAAATTGGTATAATTAAATTACAAATCAGAACATTTATAGAAAAATAAGTTTCTACTTTTTAAATAAAATTGCATTGACTTTCAGATAAATCGTACTTTTAAAAATATAAAATTATATTAATTTTATATACGCTAATATATATTTGATTAGTTATATAATATGATTTATCTTTTAATACATACAACGCATCAGAAACATGCGTAGAACATGACTCACTCAAGAGCAACAATATCAAGTATATTGTCTGATTGTGTGGTGAAAATGTCAATAGATTGATTGAATTGAAGTGAATAACGCATGATTAATTTTTTTAGTTACTTAAATAATTTTAAAAAGCGTTTTTATTAAATAGTCAAATAGTCAGAAATCAAATAGTTTAATGAATTGTCAATCCTACAATCGAAGTAAACCATTTTTCAGGTAAAAATGTCGATATGTCGAAATATAAAAATATTTTGTATATAATTTTGTTATTTCCATCCGATGCATATGCATTACGAAATTAACTCATTGACATTTACCATCCACAAAAGATGGACCATCAAACAAGATCGTATCTTTCACCTGATAACTCAGTCCGTTTGTTGTTCGTTCGATTCTAGATTCATAAAATTTCTGGCCGAAGGTCGCCATTAAACAGACTGCTCGGCCATCTGATTAACAAATTTTTACAATAATGCTTAATCTCAAGCACCGTTGAATATCTTATTGTAAAACGTAGTGTCGTTTGAAAGTGAACAATAAGAATAATGAAATTTAAGTAAATTTTTGCGGAAATAATCTCTAAAGCTATTATTTCATTATCGAAAGAATTGTTATCTTATTTTATTTCGTCAGATAATGCAATTCTCATATCTCTGTAAAATTAACATCTCATTTTTGATCATTTTAACTGATAGAGTTTTTTTTGTAAAGAGTTTAGAATTTTTCTAATACATTTAGATAAAAATGGAAATAGAGATAGAGTTTAGTGTGTTTTCGAATAAAAAATTAATTTTACTTTTTTCCCGATTTCCATCAGTTAGAATTTTCAGAAATTTAACATTTTCTAGAACTCTGGGTCACAGCTCAAGATTTCTATGAAGAAATATCAAGTTACGATTTAAATTAAATCTGATTAAAATAAAAGAGGTATATTAACTAAACTAATTCAATACGCTTTAATTGCTTATGTGAGATCAAATTAAATGTTTTGTCTAAAAAATTTCCTTGCCGCTCTTTTTAATATTTTAATTCAGAGCAAGTGCGTGATTAATGGAGGCACTGAAGACATCGCTAAAAACAGACACGTGCGATCGTTAGAAAGCTGCCTTCCGAGTAATCGTGTTAATTTAACATGTGAAGAAGTCCCCTCCCTCGCGTACATTTTCTCGCCCGCATCGGACACGCGACCATTATGTTCGCATACGCACTCGTACGACAGCAGACTACGTAAAATTACGTCGCTTTTAACAACAAAGCTTTTGCTACTAAAATACAATAGAATATTTTTCGCAAAAAGAACAACGCTGATTTTCGCGAAATATATTTACACATCATTGTTCTAAATGTATTCTTATTCTTTTCTCACATCATTACTTCTAAATGATAAATAATGGATAATGAAGAGCTTTCTACGAACTACACTTCAAAGGGACAAAATAGATAAGGAAATCTTATTCCGCATTATCTTTACTTCGGTCAAAAGCATAGTCTTATTCATGGCCAATATGGTCAGACCGATACTTCGGATTAAAGGTTAAATAAACTTTATCTTTAAAAAACTTTAGTTTGTGTAATGTTATTAGCAAGGAATTCAAAATTAAAATATATAATTGACTATATTTAAAAATTATTAATTCTATTTTCCCAATGTTTCTTAATTCAGATTTGTCAAGACTGATTAATTAAACATTTTATTGTAATGATTTGCATGTGTAATATTTGTGATTCTTATAAAAAACTTACAAATAATAAAATAAACAAACGTATATTGTATAATTATTTTATTCATAAACTTATACTTATATATTGATATCTTGATTGAGATAATTTCTTACATAAAAAAGTAGAAAATGAGAAAAAACACACAAGTGTGGCAATACATAGGTAAATAATTTTCAAATTAAATTTCATAAAAATAAAAATAAATACATAAAATCTTAAGATATCGTAGAACTTCTATTTAAAAGTCTCGATGAGAGAAAATCACTTTCAATTATTCATGATATTCATTTTACAATTTATAATTATTCATCATTATCAGCAAAGCACGAGCTCAAGTTAATTCTTGTTGATTTATAAAGACTGATAAATCAGTTTGTAAACAGGATTAGGAAGGGATTCAGAAGATTTCCTAAAAGGATTACGAAGAAACCTTAATTAAATTGATGCGGCTAAATTGCCTTATGGAATGTAGTAGCGTAATTAATTACCTCGGGCGTTTCCGAATGTCAAAACGATGACGTCGCAACCGCGACAAGGCGCACAAAGCCGTGCCGACACTTGCTCTCAAATTCGTCACACAAATTACACGTCGTAGTAGCACGCATCAGAGATACATTTCACGCAGTCTTCGCGTTCTTTCACGAGTACTTTGCAAGCGCAATCGTCCGCACCGGACGCTCGCCCGCTTCTACGCCACTCAAATTCGTGGCTCGCGATCTTATCGGCACGCGATATTCCACACTCTACGTTCATATCTGCGTATTTCCATATCTCGGTTACTTCGTTGCACGTCCCTGCAGACGTTGTTCTGCCCTCCTTCCGATTTCCAGTTTCTCGATCGCGCTCACTTCGCGAGCGGTTCTCCGCTTACCTTCGCCTTCCGCGTTGCATACGAGAGATTTAAATCTCAGAACGGACTTAAATCTCAGAATATCTATCAAAGTGTATTTCGTTAGTATTGTATCAATTGTTTGCAATAATTTTCACGGACTGAAAATACGCATTGCGCGCGCCAGTCCACACCGGTTTTCTCTTGGCATCGGCGAGCGAATCGCGCATAAACTCGTGGCGCAATTCACCACGGGCGACGGGATCCAGCGAGAGATCTTGGCGAGGGAATCTCGTTTGCGATTCTGCGAACGATCCGGCCTCACGCACACGCGCGCACCGGCTACACTGTCCGAAACGTTCGCTCCGATCGAAGTCAGTCAGATCATGCGTGTCGTCGACGACCTTCGGGCACCTCGCCGCGCTCCGCTCCAATATCGAACGAACACTCGCGGAATCCTTATCTCCGGCCGCGACTTTTGTCGAGTCGACGACGCAGCGTCCGCCGTCAGCAGCAGCGGCTGCGACGTATCTCCGCAGTTTCTTTTTTTTTCTTCACCAGCCGAGGAAATTGATGCTGCTCTTTTCTGGAATTTCCGCGCTCTCCTCTCAAACTCTTGTAATCGCGCGCGTATTTCCCGGCGTGCTTATCAAGGCTGCTCGTTGCGCAGTGCGCGTGGACGAGCGCCTGCGAGACTGGCCGCTCGATGCTAAAGATCGCGCGAAACGTCGTTCTCGCGAAAACCGTGAGATCCGTGAAACGATTCCGTGCACCTCTCCTCGCGTGTTGCTGCGGTATCGCGCGACTTTAGATACAATACGTGCCGATTCCGAGCGATACGCGCGCATGACTGCTGCCAGCAGAACTCGTACGCGTGCCGACGACCCGACACTCGTCTCCTTCGTCATAATCACTTTTGCACAGTAGCGTAACTACGTACCGAAATGCAGCTACATATCCAAAAGAAAGATATCAGTGTTTTGCGCATTATCAGTATGAAAGCGAACGTTGCAATAAAAAGTTTACATTAAGCAACTATATCATATCAGTTATATCGTATCGGCGATAACTCCGCTATCGTGCATAATCTTCTCTTCTTCTAAGTTTTTTTGTTGTTACATAATTTTCCAAACACCAATCAATTCTCGTATAGCACAGTATTCAATGGGTATTTTTTAGCACTCTTCTAAACTTTTGAATTTTAATTATTATTATTGTTTTTTTTATCCCAAAAAAGATTAAACGTTTTTTACACTTAATTTTTAAATAAAATTTTTTACGTGTTGCGAGATATTTTTATACCTGGCAAAACTACACATTGTATATTGATGCAAATATTTTATTTTAATATATCCTAATTGACGCGTAAATATTATAAATATTGCTTAACTTTACAAATGTGGAGTTTTATCTAAAAACTATTTATTTTATCATAAATTTGGAATACGTATGCATGTCACAATTGATTCTCATTAATCGACGATTATAATTGCATATCGTATATATACATAACAGGCGTATATGTTATAAAATAATACTGTTAAATTTTAGTGACTGTAATAAACTCATAGTAAACAACGTGTTAAAATAAAAGTATTTATTGATAATAAAATTCTTCTTTCTTTTAATGTTTCTAATGTAAAAAAAGTTTCTGAAAAAGCTTAATCTCTTCTGTAAGGAACTTGCTATAATTTTGTTTACAAAGTCGTTAGATATACTTATCTGTGTGTGTATTTTAAGATGTTATGTCACAATGCGTTTTTTTATGCAGAAAGAAAAAATAAAGATTTAATAAAGAAAAAAGAAATAAAATTTGAAAAATTTTACTAAATTACAGATGTAATCTTTTCGCTCTATTATCGCAGCTTTTAAGCTCTGTAACGATTTTCGTGGAGCCATCGCATGCTTACAGTTACGTCTATGGATCGGATCTGTAGATACGCATGCGTTGCGGATGATGTCACCGTCATTCGTGTCGTTCTCCAGATACAGTCTGCTTGTATCGTGTATTTTACTGTAATTCTCACTAACGTTGTTGCGGCAGGACCGCTAAACACATCACTTCTCGTGTGTATTATGCAGTAACTGTTCATTAATCACAATACATATGAATTCACTGATTCTTGTTTTTATTTTGAGCTTTACATTGGATTTCTGTGCACCTAACGAGATGTATTCAAGGCGGTTTCTATTCTAACAATTGCACATAACTGCTTGCGCATAATATTTACGGATTGTTTATGGCGGCCGGCACTATACAACCCACACCTTCAACATCTTACTGAAGACTCGCAATGGTTTTCAACAATTTTGCAAATTGTGTATGATAATTAAATATTGTTCATAAAAATCATATACATAGCTTGATATAAAAAAAAAAACAGCAAATCATATTTCGAATCATATATTCTTTGGATATTCCATAAAAATCCGAAGAAACTTTTTAATCAATCTAATATTTTTTAACTAATAATTTATTCATGACTGAAATATATTCTAGCGACGAAACGCGCGAGTTGTAGAATGCACATTGAAACCGTTGAAAGATATCAATCGCTCAAGTACTCGCAGAAGACTCGCGGGTACTTATATATAATGTAAGTATTGAAATAGATATCGATAGTAAAAATGTTTGCGTGCACAATACACGCGCAATTATAACCAAAAGCCATACACTCGCAAGTCTTACAACAACGTATATAATTTGAGTGTTGAATACTTCGCGAAACAAAGTCAACGAGAATGTGTGATACCGCAACTTTAGGTCCTACCGTATTCGTAGCTTGTATCATATCGATACGTTGAAAGATTTGTTTTCTGCGACTCCTTTTCCAAAGCGGAACGTAGTAGATACGCTACGAGACAGAAAAAACAATGCATATATCAATTACAAGCGGCCGTATATATAAGGTGTGAAAATAATAAGCGTATCTTCAATGAAGTCTTGCAAACAATTCATATTGCCGCTACAAAGTATTAACTTTATTCAGTGACAATTTTCTTTTATACGGCCGTGAGTTACCACGCAATTCTGTGGAACGCGGCTTATTCTTAGCCGTCTTTACAGATTGGTGAGTAGCGTTTTCTTCAAATTCGCTCCTCTGTGTTGTCTATTAAAAGTTCTTCTTCTATTCAGTGCGTTGACCAACTTTTCGGACCAGATGCGGTGCATCTGTTCTACAATAAATATCGGGAAGAATCCAATAAATGTTACAGCATTTCTGACTCATCCAAGTAGTTTATTTCTGTCGACGTTTTCTATTCTCCAACACAAGACGCAGTCACAGTCCGTGCACAGCGTCGTCTAGTTATGCTCATTCTTTGTTATTAATTTTATTTCTGTTCTCTTGTAAACTCGCCAACTTTACACCAAGCTACTGTTCGTACTTGCAAACCAACCTCGTCGTGTATAAAATAAGCGCATCTTCTCTTTTTTTTCTCCCTTTCACCTTCTGCTTCCTCTGTTTCTTGTGTTGGCAAGTCGCATCATCGCGGAACCACTTCCGAGGAAGGCCGACCGGTTCGATTTGCGTTCAGAGATCGAGTCGTTTACGATGTCGGCAGGCTAATTAGTCATCGTTTTTTAAGCTGGCTGGCCAACGATCATTATCAATGTAAATAAACGTAAACAACGTACTTGGAGATTGAAAAATCATCGATATCGCGAACTTCCTTTTTTTGTAACAGCTCGTTTAAACGAATGACATAAGAACAACAAATAACAAGAGAACTAATTAAAAATAGCGCTAATCGGTATTTATTACTTTAAGGACGTCTCGGTGCATAATATGTATTTCTTTGTTAAGTTTAATGACATTCCAGATGATAAAATGTGCGTAGAGTGCGTTGGAAAACCGCAGGAGGAAGTTGAATATTACTATTAATACAATAATTTAATCAGAATTGTCGTGCAACATGCTAGTTATATTATAATTTATAAAACAGAGAGAGCACGCAGAGCGACAAAGAGAGACGAAAAAGATATAGCAGGCATAGAAATCAGAAATTCAAAAGCTATTTGATTTGTGTATACAGATGTGCGTTGCGCGAAACATACGGGCGATAAGCATATCATCTCGTTGTGTTGAATAAATGAGGTCGACGAGCGATGCGTGAGAATCGACAGAAACACACAAGTCAGATAATATCTTCGATTCATATGATCCGGATAGCTTCGAATATGCAATTGAATGCTATTTTTATGAGATTTCATTGGATTTGAATAAATCAAATAATTTAAAAAGAAATCTTTTTATCTTGTAGATATATTTTTCATAAATTGCTACAGTTTCTTTACTTTTAATTTATCTACCCAATGTTATTCTACAATTATTCTACAAGCATTTAATTATTAACATAATTATTAAATACTTATAGTAAATAAATAACAATATTTTATCATAAATTTTGTTTTAAAAATACTCGATATGAAAATGACGTATCGCATTCTAATTTAAATGTTCACGAGATATGCGGGAAACGTAATTAGAGAATTGCTAGGCTCACGCGTGAATAATTTATTCTAAAATGTTATCTTGCGCAATAGGTTTATTCTTGCGAGGGAAAGGTGCATCACATGTGACGTCAATATATCACTTACTTGGAATCGGAAAACCATGCACTAAGCCACAGCTTAGCCGCGCTTGCGGAATAATCAGTGAAACGTGCGCAAACGTTCGCGCGTCGCGAAACTTGCAATTTGCATATCATTTTCTTGCGAAACATATGTTTCCACCGGTTTTTGTGACGTAGACGGGCTCTATTTTCAACTATCGATAGGTTTATGTGCGTCATTAAGTCTATCTTTATTGGAAACAGCTAAATATAGTTTAAGCAGGCTGTAAAAACTAAGATAAAAAAAAATTATTTTAAGAATATCATATCATATTTCAATTCAAAAGCTGCAAAGATAAGAGATCAGCCCAAGGCAATATAAAAATAATAAAGGAACATGAGAGTTTAAATACTCAAGAACTTGAGATAGCAGCAGGTTAAAAAAAAATAAAAAACCGTGAATACACGTGGACATTACGACGGCAGCATTGCCCGAATTCAACGAGTTGAGTAGCTCTGCACTTTAATGCGTCACCGATTACACAATGCTGGCTCTATTTTTGTCCCAAAAGCATGTCTATGCGCTCTTACAGTGTAAAACAAAATAATGCACATTTCAATCGAGTGTCGCAATGTACAGAAACTCCGTGCGCATCTTCAATAAGGCATCTAACATATTCTGAATTAATGAAACAGATAACATGTTTAGCAACAAATGTTGTGCAACAAAAATAAGTAAATATTATAACGGAGTGATGCATAAAAACGATGCAGAGTTAACAGAGTTATCAACTTAAAGTAATATATATCATTTTATATAAATAACGTTAATAACGCACAATAAAATTATTAAATTATTTTAACACTCGCATAATTACGCTCGCGCGATAAAACATAATGATAAATCTAATACTATGGATTACAGATGCTGATTTGTTTGTCATAATTAGAATTTGATTCAGTTGATGTCATTACATATTTATCCAATTTTTAAACGTAATAATGTGTAATAAATGCTCGTGCTCTTTATTTTAAACATAATCGTTCGACTGTTTAAAAAACTCAATTATCGATTAATTCGGATGAAAAGATAAGTAACTAAATATTTAAAGAAATACAATTAGCAAAAATCACAACGCGATTGCTTAACGCGGCAAATCTCCATTTTCTTTTTTATCGAAGCTTACGCTCTTATCATCGTTATAAAAGGCATAGCAACCGGAAGCTATTTGCTTGATTTTACGTAATATAGTTGAGGATTTCGCGAAATGCCGTCTAGCTTTCTTGCGATCCGTGCACAATTTCTGCATCCAATATATTCAGCTTCTCGTTGTTTGCGTATTGGCATATTGCGATATCTACGCAGAATCTTGTTCGCGTGACACAAAATTGCTATCAGATAAAAAAGATAACAGCTAAAGAGGAAGGTTCCTGTAAATGGTACCATTCACGGCGCACAAAGATGCTAATTGCTATAATGGATTATATAGATATATTGAGATAAATGTTTTTTTTCTTTTTCTTAAAAGATTATCTTTTCAGAGATTAGAGTACAATTTGTTATCTTGGTTTTTTTAAATCACGTTGTACAATTTTTTTATTGTGATCTTTGTTCTGCTATTTCTTTTAATTTACAGCATCCAATTAATAACTAGTATTTAAACTATATATATATAAACTATATATTTTGTATTGATATCAACAAGGTATCGATATCAGCAGCTCTACTTCTATTATAACTATGTATAATGTAAGAGAAATTACAGGAATCGAATAAAACTGATATTATGCATACTCCGCCTTTTTCCCAAGAAATGAATGTAAATGAATGTCAGCGTAATGTTGCGTAGTTAGATTGGTTTCAAGATGATTCGAGAGGTCGTCTTTTTTTCCTGAATTGTGAAATGGGTTTTCTTAATTCTCGAAGCAATGGCGGTGTTTTCCATGATAAATGCAGCACACGTAAGTACATAGATTAAAATGTCGCATACCGCAAATCAAAATATGTGTGTACATATCGAAATGTTACTTTCATACTACAATAGCTTTGAAACTTTGAAAATAATGAGTGATACATACTGACAGAAGGCGATGACACACAAGAATTGTCAGAGGCAAGCAACGTACATGTGTGTTTTAAATTAAAAAGTATGTGTATATTAAAATAAAATAAATGTACGAATACACATAAGTATGCATCATTGTTCTACAAAAAAGTTTCTAATCGATGTCTTACTCCAAAAATGCAAGCAGAAAAACAAAATAAATTATTATTGAATTACAAAATGCATTATATTTTACAAATACCTAATGAGCAAAATTTGATTGTAGCATAAAATTGTTTTTATTACAATTTATAATGTATAATGTTGTATAATATAAGATTTAGGTATATAAAGTTATTATTTTTCCCATTACATTTGAAATAGCCGAATAGTAAATATAAAATGTTATACAAATACATAAGTAAGTTCAAGTTGTTTGAACCTGCATACTAAGAGAATTTAGTATAAAAAACTGATGAAGCTTAAAGAATAAAAATATTATATTGCTAGATTTATCTAATTCTTACAGTATACATTTTGCAATTTATTAAGAGTGACGAATAATAGGAAAAGACTTAATAGATATTATCAAATATCGATCAATCAACGGAGAAATGAAAATATCTCCGCGACGTTGGACAACGTGTTTCTGCGATAGAGTATTAGCAGGAAGAATATGACGAATAATATCGTGGTTATATTGCTGAGCCAATCCATCCTGAAACATGGAAAACATTTTAAGTTTTATTATTTAATTCTCTTTTTAATTTACCGAAATTCCACTCAATCAGCATAAATTGCAAAGCAAAGCCAAGTCTCTCGGAAACGGCGGTTACATAACTGTCTGATTCGTTTAGATCAAGCTAATTATACGAGGCATTTCCACGAGGAATATTGACACGAATTCGTCGAACTGGGTAATCCAAAGGGGAGGAAAGGTCAAGATAAGCGCTTTGAAAGATGAAAAGTATCAATGATTATTACGATAATTGAACAGTTGACGTAGATTTTCATCGTACTTAAGGAAAATTAACAAAGCAGTTAATAATGAATCAGCGTTTATGCGTGGTAATAGATTATGTTAAGATAGTGATAAGGAGTGTCTTGTGCATCTACATAATTGTTGCATAATGCAATCTTGCATGAATCTTGTATTATTTTTATGCATTACAAATATTTTCTCGTCCCGTTAACTTGATTTTTTTATTTATTATTTATTATTTTATTTATAGTAATATTAGTATTGAATTGTTGTCAGAAAATTTTTATCGAAAAATCCAAAAGAACACTTTTCCGAAGAAATCTAATATATTTAGTTAGTAATTTTTTAATAATATTTTTATTACTTATATAATCATTGGAATTATAAATATATGAAGAACAAGTGTGAAATGCAAATATCGTGGCTATCTACATATAACTTCTGCGTGTATGCAAATGCTGAATTGCGCGAATGTAACATAATTAAAATGCAAGCGCTTAATCATCAATGAATATTTTCAATTTTTGTAATAATGCGAATGTAAATACACATACGAATTCTTCGTAATTAGCAATGCAAACAATCATACGTTCCATCGCAAAGATGTTAAGATGCAGCTATGATGCAAAACTTATTTGAAAACTACGATAAGTTACTACACGTTTATCAAAATTTTGTGAGAAGTCTAATTGCATTTTTGCAATTGATTTCGCGAATTACAATTCACAGATACAATAAATAATATACTCTTTGGGCATTCTTTGGGAATTGTGCAACTTTGCCACGTGTACGCGCCACCCGCGTTTAAAATTATCTCGATACTAAAATACATCATGCGTGTTACAAACGTGCACAACAACCGCACGTATTACATAACATTTAGCGATTTCCATACCAATACAATCGCGTATTTCTTGGTTTCGCTTACACACATAAATTATCAATAATACTCTTTTGCAAAGAACAACAAGAAATGCAACAAACGTTTGGATAAAATTGAAATTAGTAAACTGCTAGAAATAGTTCAGCCCGCTGTCAGACGCGTTCTTAAGGCCATTAAAGCTTCGGTATACCAGGTCACACAAATGCCTTAACATATGAAATTGCACGCACTCAAAAAAATATTTCACTGATGTAGTTAGATTTCTAGATATCGCAACAAGAATGTATCGCTATTTTTCGTATCTGTGAAAACATTGTTTGTCACATATAGAATTTATAGCAGTAATGTTCTAGCAATAGCTTCTGAAAAATTTAGGTACCATTGCTATATGTTATTCATTGCATGATCTAACACGTGATTGATCTTATATAGATAGGCGCTTTAAAGAAACTTTCTTTTTAAAGTTCACAAACAATACAGATATATATTCTGTTTCTGTCATCTAAACTGATTAAGTAATTACATATGCAATATCACAACAGTTGCTAATCATTTATCTG